TTTTCGAAAATTAAGGCTATTTAATTTAAAATTTTAAACACCAAAAATACTTTGATTTAATAATTATCAAAATCAAGCAATTAATTTGAACTATTAAATCTTTAAGGTTTATCATAAAATCAAACTATTAATTTATTTAATCCTTTTATCCCCTAGATTTTTAAATATATGGAAAGGATAATACAAGATCTTCAATTATCTAGTTTAAACAATTAAATTGATAATCACAAAGATAGCAATATCCAAATCCCTAAAATCTTGGGATCTTATCTTGGGGGCAAGGGATTTTCGAAATCCCTAGGGTTTCTTAACCCTAATTTCGAAATTTGGAGGCTAGGCAAAAAGGTTTTAAGAACCCTATCAAAAATCGCCAACTAGGGTTTTGCAACCCTAATTTGCAAAAATCACCAAGCCTTAGGGTTTACTTGCCATAAACCCTAATTTGTCAAATTCATAATATGTATCAAATCCAATTGAAAACAAAAAACCAATGGCTCTGATACCACTGATAGGTTTAATACAAACAATCCTATGTGTGCATGCAACCCTAGTTGGATCTATGTTTTCACTATAAGACATACAACTTTATGAACACAAAATAAACCCTGGCATGCTTCTATAATTTTCGAAAATTACATAGAAGTGTAGTAGACATACCTTTGTTGTTATATAGCAATAACAACTAGTTTCCTTGATCTCTTGAACTCTCTTGAACTCTTGAAAGCAAGCACCACAATTGTAGTGCCTCTAATGGCTCACAAACACCTTGAAGCAAGAAGGCAACTAAGAGAGAGAAGGGAATGATGCTAATTTCGGCCCTAGGGTTCCCTTGGAATCAAGTGGCCTCAAATTGAAGCATAGGGCATGTATTTATACTATAGGGTGCTAGGGTTTTAGTCTAAACCCTAATGGACAGCTTAGCCACCAAGCAGCCCAAGAAACCTTATGGAATGAGGCCTTGGACGAAAATATGATGATCCTTCATCATAATTTCGTTCCCCCTTAGTCCATTAGATTTCCTAGCCCAAAACTCAACTATCACACATTTAACAGTTTATACCCCTTTATTTAATTAATCTCTTTTAGTCACCAAATTAATTCCTAATTAATTTATGACTAATACTAATTAAATAAATATGATTTCTCCTTTAATATATTATTCTTATAATATATTAATAAATCATAATATCTCCTCTCTCATATCAAATTACCTTGTCAAGTTGCTTTGGTGAAGGCAACCCAAAAGGACCATGCACACTCGGGTCAAGTATATACCAAATATGGTTACTGACTTAGACATTAATCCAACAGTAAGACCCTGGAAGGAGCCCATGACATCCTTATAGATTTATGTATGCATGGCTTATGTGTTATAGGCAGCTTTTATAGCTAACAGGATATGTGATATGTGTATTGTGTGTGAGATATGCTCTGGGCAACTCACTAAGAAATTATCTTACAAGTTGTGGATTTGTTTCAGGTACTTCAGATCCCAAGGGCAAAGGCAAGGCGTGATGGAATGGCATGCACTCTCCCCCAGGCGTTTTTATGGACAATCAGATGTTTGGAATAAAAGTTATATTTGAAATGTGTTCTGAAAACAATTATGATTTGATTTCTTAAATTACGGAAATGTATTTGACTATTCAAAAATGAAAATTTTCTTTGAAAAATTGGGCCATTACACAGTATTGAGTGAACGCCTAGATGACGCCGACTATTGTGATATGTATCCAACTTAACTCTGTCTCCTTGAGGGGTGAAAAAGGTAAGCTTGAGTATCACAACAACAAAAACAATATCGTCATACGTCGTCCAGGAGGTGATCCCGGAACGAAGCTCTGACGGTCAAGTTAGTGACTTCCTTTGTGGAAAGGTCTATTATGGAAAGTATGTGACTGGGATTAAAGATTCGATCCCATCTCTTGGGGGAGAAAGGACCTCTTTATACCTGTGTTCAGGGGGACAAATCCCCGATAGTACCTTATAGTTTTTCAGGCATGGCTGGATGAGGCGGCCTTTGATTGGTAGATCGTGCCCCGCGAGTGGCTGTTTATTATTCGTGCAGAATAACTAGTTGGCAGATCATCGAGCACTACACCTGTGGCTCTGGGGCAACTGCTACTCCTTTGTCTTATCTGGGGTATGCAATTGCCCAAGGGATCACACCCAATATAAGGGTACCAACTATACTACTCTTAGAAAATGTCTCCATGATCCAAATCTATAAAATTAAGATGTCAAACAAGTAACTAACATAATAATGTTACAATAGTTGTTGCATAAAAACTATTGTGAAACATAGTGGACATAACTTTAATGCATACACAAATCCTTGTGCAATATATGTAGGTCTACTGCCGACTCTTGGCTTGGTGGGGTTCAAATGCTCTTTAGTCTTATCAAAGACATCATATAATTGTCTTTAATTGAAATCCGATATTACTCTACCCCATAGGTATATGTGTCAACAGTTACACTTAATAACTATAAACTAAAAGTATCATTTGATATAATATAAATAGTTGTACACCTATTAAACTCACATAAATTATAGACAAATGTAAGATATTCATCATTAACTTCTTGTCAAGGGTATCTGTCATAAAATCCATGCTCTAACATATACATCAGGGAGACTCGCACAACGTCTTCATCTTCTAGTTGATGTAGTGAGTTATTGAACACATGCATAATGTAAACAACTTTCACTGACTATGAAGGCAAAACAAATGGAAAGACATAATGTTTGAATTGTGTCAATGTAACACCGTAAAAATTTGAACAATTTTTCACTTTTGTAACCCATAAAATATCATTTGAAAACATAAATAAATCATTATAACAACATTGTATCAATACAAAACCCAAGATCTCTCTCTCTCTCTCTCTCTATATATATATATATATATATATATATATATATATATATATATATATATATATATATATATATATATATATATATATATATAAACTCCAGTATGCGTGTGTACGGATCATGTCGGCGCCTTCCCGCGATCGTCGCTGGTACCTGAAACACATAACACATAACACATACCACTGTAAGCAGAAATGCTTAGTGAGTTCCCCAAAATACCACTCTAACACATAATAGCCACTCGAGGCTGTAACTCTGTTGACCATCAGGTCTATGTGTCTCAGTGGGGCCCTCCAGCCCCAACTCTCTATGGGCCCTCTGGCCCTAACTCTGTGGACCCGAAAGTCCTAACTTTGTGGACCCGAAGGTCCTAACTCTGTAACTCTAAATCATACATAGCACATATCACAATAAATCATAGCGCATAAATAACATGCAATTACACTGGCACATAACTCTAGAATACTCTATCACATAACTCTGTTACCACACTAGGTAAAGTATAGTGAGAAGACTCACCTCAGGCGTCTCGGTAAATCTCTGACTTGGTAGGAATACTGCCTAGTCTTCGCCTATTCACATAAAATAAATACTCTTATAAATATAATTCTCAAGACTAGACTCAACCTGCCTTTGGCACTCTCAGGAGGGAAAAAGGCTATTTTACCCTCCTCTCAACACAAGTACTCCATTGACCAAACCCTAAAAGTCAACAGTCACACTTTAACCCTACTCTCCGAGTGCACTCTGGTGACTCGGCGAGTTCACACATGTCCTTTACACTTTGTCCTGCTTGTCACGTCGAGTCCCTCTCTATGATTGACAAGTCATACTAGGCATGAATCGCGGGGCCACCACAACTCAACTCGCCGAGTCTCAAGAACAACTCGGCGAGTGTCGCCTTGAACTCCAGTCCTCAACTTCCTTCTGACTCACTGAGTCATCCCCCAACTCAACAAGTCTATATGCTGGAAATTTACGTGAAACCCTAACCCTACTCGCCGAGTCTCAAGAATAACTCAGCGAGTTCATGCCATGCACAAACTCTACTGGCCTCCTGAGGTCAGATCTGTTTCCCTAAATCAAAGATCTGACCTTCCCAAGCATGAATGTCACGTAAAACTCTAAACTTGATGCTTGTATAACAACAACAAGGCATCAAAAGGTGATTTAGTCCCAAAAATGGCAACCTAAGTCCAATAACCCCAAACTAATCCATAAAGCTCCCAGGGTTAAGGTCTCTGGACCTCTTTGAGTCCAGATCCAAGGCACAAACTCGAAGAGGGATCATTTGCTCCACATAATCACTCTCCAAAGGGGGTTAGAAAACCCTAACTCTATAGATCAACACCAAAACTGAAGGAGGTTCGAACTATTACCTCAAAATGAAGTCTCTGAATCTCTGGAACTGCTAGAATCGCACCTCCCCTCTTGCTCTTGTACTTCCTTCTTGCTAAACCAAAGATACAAGGATCAAAAGTGTCTTCTTCTTCCTTACAACAATTTGGCTCTCTTAGGGTTCTCTCAAGGGACTGGTAGCCGCAATGAGAGGCTATAAGTGCCCTTATATAGGCTCCAAACCCGGGGATTTAGGGTTTCATTAAACAGCGTGGACTCGCCGAGTCCAAAGCAAATCTGGATGAATAGTCGCAACCCTACTCGGCGAGTCTACGCATCAACTCGCCGAGTTCCTTCCCATAATTCAAAATAATTAAATAAAATAATATATACCTGGAAACCCGGCTGTTACAGTCAAATATGAAATAAGAGGGAAATAGTTGTCGAACCGCAAGCCGATCATAAGGCAAAAAACTTTCCTCTTACAGCAAACCCGATAGTTGTGTACCGAAAATAGAAGCTCCTTTAGGTCAACCCGAGGACAAGTACTATATTCCTTGCATGTAAGATAATGACATGGTAAAGGATGACATTCGACACCCATCGACATGTTAACATAGGCACCAAAATAAGATGCCCTAAACATGGCCGCACATTGTGGTGTGTCTTGTAAACGGGCCATGATTTCATGGCCCGGTTCAAGCCTGTAGGTTGTAGTGAGAACCACTTCGCATGTTTTGTCATGCTACAATGAAAAATATTATAATTAGATATTTGATGCATGTTCCAGACCAAAAGAATATGTGTCATAGAACATTCTAGAACAACCATTCAGACTATTCCGGCTTGCAATGATATATTCTTAACAGACGCACTCCGAAATACCATTCCGGAACAGTTCAATGCATTCCGACCTTGTTCTGCATATTCCGGACATGATCTTCAGTAAGTTGGAGTCGTTGTAGACTATTTCAGAATTAGGACTTTTTAAAGATCTGTTCTTCTAGTGCTCGCCCGCGTATACCCACATATAACCCTATAATAGCCTAAAACTACTAAAACTGAAGAAAAACGAGAATAATACTTATGTACTCTCATCAAATCATACAAAAAAATTATCTACTTTTTAAAATATAATCATAAATAAAAGAACATATAATTATAAAAATAATGAAAACATACCTACACAAACTGAATTTATTCATTGCTAGAATAAGACATTGTTTAAGTTTGATGTTGTCCGGAACGAAGATGGGTTCAAAATAAAATCCGAAATAAAAATGAATTTGAAATGTTATTTATAGCGGGGCATATGATCGGATCATATCACTATACGCGTTTATCCGTTCTGAAATACGGATCCGATACATCCATTCCAAACCGAATGACAATTTTCCAAAATTAATTTTATCCAAGAGAAAAAGATTAAATTAGTGGTTTTTCATAAAGTATTACAATTTTGTGAAAGAAATTCTTTGAATCCGTTGTACATGATGAAACACGTTTGTCTTTGTATGGGTCCCTACCCCATCACACCTTCCCTCATATATTTCTTTTGTAGTTCTTTAGCATAATTAATAAACCAATATCTTGATATAAAATTGAATGCTACCTCGATTTTTATTAAATAAATAAATAGGTTATTGGTAAATAATGTATAACACTCGAAAATCAAAATAAAGGAAGTCAATAAAACAAGTCTTCCCCAAATTTTGTAAAAGTTTCCCCCTTCGGTTACTCTGAATTAATTTCTAAGTGGGTTCGAAATTCGAGGATGAACAGTAACCCCGTTTGGAAAAGAAAGAATAAAGAAAAAAAAAAAAAAAAAATCACACTTCACACAGTACACACACCCTATGAATATGATAGCCTGTTATTTATAAAAAGGAGAAATGGAAGGTGGAACAGGACAACCAGGATCACAAACCTACTGCCAATGCCATCTGTAGATAACAATCCATTTTACAGACCACAATGCAATTGATTTGATAGACCTGATTTTCAGGCAGAAAATGATGGCTGGAGTAGGAGGTGGAGGAGGATCCAAGAAACTCAAGAGAGCAGCTCGGAGATTACTTCATACCTGCGGCTCCTTCTCTTTCCGGCAATCTCATCTCGAACCCCCTTCCCCCACCGTATGTTCTAATAACTCCGATTTACGTTTTAATCTTTCTTCTCCTAGCGAATTCAAGTTCCGATGTGTGTTTTATTTGTTACAGGTGGTAATTGCATCAGGTTCGACTAATAATTCTCCCAAACCCAGCAAGGTTAATCCAGATAATTTTACAGAAAATGTTTCCAACGCAGATCCAACCACTTCTTCTTCCAAGGTAATCGTAATCCTCATTATATGTCACCATTCTTTCAAATGTAGGTTAAATTGAACCCAATTAAGTAAGCCCTAATATAGTTCATTGACCATACACGTTTGGGGGTTCGGAATTTTAAACTGATTTTTTCTCCAATTCAAGTATGAACCTATTTAGGGAGTAACACCATTCCCAAATCCCAATCTTGTGCCATAAATAGATAATTTCTCATTCAATTTTTGTTTTGAGGGTTAAATGCTGTGTCTTTAAATGCAGACGATGTGTGCGATTTGTCTAGAAACTCTCAACTACAGTTCATGCAGTACTCCAGGGCAAGCTATATTCACAGCTCAATGCTCTCACGCTTTCCATTTCGATTGTATCGCCTCCAATGTCCGGCACGGCGGCGTCACCTGCCCTATCTGCCGTGCGCAGTGGACCCACCTCCCGCGTAACCTCAAAACCCCACCTTACTCAAACCTAACCGACGACCCAATCCTTCAAATCCTCGACGACTCCATAGCCACTTTCCGGGTTCACCGCAGATCCATTTTAAGAACCGCCCGTTACAACGACGACGACCCGATCGAACCGAGTCATGGTCTCGACCTCAACCACCCACGGCTCCATCTCTCCATCTTAACCACCGAACCACATCCCTCATGCTCTTCATCTCAACCTCTGGACTCCACCTACCGACCCGCGTGTCTCTCGGTTCGACTCGCGCACCAACCCGCCATGGATCTGGTTCTAGTCGCGTGTCCAAATGGGCCCCACCTTCGGCTCATAAAACAATCGATGGCACTGGTGGTGTTTTCACTCCGGCCGATTGACCGGTTGGCGGTGGTGACGTACTCGTCGGCTGCCGCCCGTGTGTTCCCCCTCCGGCGAATGACATCATACGGGAAACGGGCGGCACTGCAGGTGATTGACCGGTTGTTCTACATGGGTCAGGCGGACCCGGTGGAGGGGTTGAAAAAGGGGGTGAAGGTGTTGGGGGACCGGGCTTATGAGAACCCGCAATCGTGTATTCTACATTTGTCGGATAATCCGACAAGATCTTACCACGGGTTTGATGCTGAGGTGGCGGTGCGGGTCCACCGGTTTCATGTGGGGTATAGTTTTGGGACATCGAATGGGTTTGTGATGCATGAGTTTGAGGAGTTTTTGGGGAGAGTGATTGGGGATAAAATAAGGGATATTCAGCTTCGGATTAGGGAGGATGGTAGGGTGGTGAGGCTGGGGGAGTTGAGTGGTGGGGAGGAGCGGAGGATTCCGGTGAGTGTCAGGGAAGGTGGGAGTGTTTGGGTTGAGTATAGTTATATTGAAGATGGGGTTCGGGAATGCCTGAGGAGTGGGGAAGTGGTGGTGGGAGTGGGATTAGGGGAGAAAGGAGAGGCGGCAGGTGGTGGTGGTGGTGGTGGGGATGGTGGTGGAGGGAATGAAGATGGTCGGAGTAGTAATGCTGGGAACTGGGATTACCATGATCCGTACATGGCTAGAAGATGGGCTAAGCATCTGCATGGTTACAGACTCTGATAATGATTTTTGTTAATGACTTAATGTTTCCTTGTTCATTTGTGTATTTTTTTTTTCTTTTTCTTTTTCGTTTTAAAACAAACTTTTATTCCACTGTGGAGAATCAGACATTCCTTGTAAAACAAGAGGGAAAAAACAACGGCTTAATCGTTGCAGAAACAGGTGAGGCGAGTTTAGCAGGCTCGGTGGATTTTTTTTTTTTTAATTAAGATATACGAAAATGAGTGTGTTGATAGCCAATTGATCTTATAGATTATACTAGAAGTATAAACATAAGAAATGAAAACAATAATATATTAATAAATATCACTATGAGTGATAAATATGAAAGAAGTAATCTGTTAATGAAAGGTTGAATTTATCAAGGTTCTAAATAAATTTAGATTAGTTTCAAGTTTTTACAAACCGTGTTGTTTTGTTAAAACGTGACTGGTAGGTATAAGTTTTGGAATCATGGCGACGAGCTTTAGAACTTTGGTATTTATATTTTGTTGTGTGTATATATATTTTTTTTGTAAAATTAGTTTTCTTTGTAAATAAGAAATAATTCACAACTGTGCGATAATTAAAAGGAGAAAAAAAAAACAACATATATCTAGTCAAATGTGCTATAAACAATGACAAAAGTATATATAGATATTCTATTGACATGTGATACAATAGTAATGTTCTAAAGTAATATACCTTGTGCGACTTTTGCTTCTATGCTTGCTCATAGATTCATTTTGTTATGCTGTTTACTACCTTTAACTCCCTAAATAGAAGTCTAGGCGATATTAGGTGTTTTTTTTTTTCTCTTTTAAGGCTGAAGGTTTAAGTTACCGTTTAGGGTATATGTAGATTAATGAGTAGTTTAGAAACAGATTAAATTTCTAAAAAAAGAAAAAAACCTTAGGGTGCGTTTAGTTGTGGAAAAATGGGCCGTTTTTCGGAAAAATTTTCCAAGAAAAATAAGAATTTTGAAAACGCGTTTAGTTCGTCTATTTTTCTAAATTTTTCACGGAAAATGAAAATTTTCCGTTTTCTAAAATTACAAAGAAGTTGGAAAATTTTAGAAAACTGATAATCATTGTTTTCCACATTTTTCTAATTCCAAAATTTTTCTATAAACACACACCCACTCCACCCCATCCACCTCTACCTACCCCCCACACACACCCACCCGCGCACACACACACACACCCATCTGCACACACACACACACACCAACCCACAAACACACGCACATACATACCCACTCACACATACACACACACCAACCCACACACACACATACATACCCAACCACACACACCCACCCACAAACACACACATACATACATACCCACCCACCCACACACACACACCCCAACCTGCACACACACACACACCAACCCACACACATACACATACGTACCCACCCACCCACACACACCCACCCACCCACACATACATACCCACCCCACACACACACACCAACCTCCCCCCCCCCCTCACACACACACCTACCCACCCACAAACACACACACATACACATACATACCCATCCTCACACATACACCCACCCTCACACATACACATACCAACCCACAAACACACACACATACATACCCACCCATACACACACATACATACCCGCCCACACCCACCCACAAACACACACACACATACATACATACCCCCACAAACACACACAAACACACACTCGCATCCCCAACCACCCAACACCATCACGACAATCACCGACCTACCATCACCACCACCACCACCACTAACCCGTCGCTAGCACCACCACCACCGCTGCCGCCTGTCATCACCACCACTGACACAATTGTCGCCGCCGCCACCATCGCCTGTCATCATCACCACCGCCGCCGACCCACTACCGTCACCGCCCCCGCCCACACCTTATCACCGCTACCGTTTTTTAAAAATGAAAACCGATAGAAAAAGACACATCTAAACACGTTTTATAATTTTCTAAAACTGAAAATGAAAAATGAATAAGTTTAACTAAACATGTTTTCTAAAATTTTCAATGAAAAATGAATAGGGAAAACGAAAATCGAAAAGGGAAAACAAAAAACGGAAAATGAAAACTGTTTTTCCGTAACTAAACGCAACCTTAGGGTGCGTTTAGTTGCGGAAAAATGAGCCGTTTTTCGGAAAATTTTTCCAAGAAAAATGAGAATTTTGAAAACGCGTTTAGTTCGTCTATTTTTCTAAATTTTTCACGGAAAATGAAAATTTTCCGTTTTCTAAAATTACAAACAAGTTGGAAAATTTTGGAAAACTGATAATCATTGTTTTCCATATTTTTCTAATTCCAAAATTTTTCTATAAACACACACCCACTTCACCTCATCCACTTCTACCTACCCCCACCTTAACACCCCTCACCCACACACACACACATACATACCCACCCCCACACACACACCCACACCCGCACACACACACACATCAACCCACAAACACACACACATAAACACACACACCAACCCACACACACACACCAACCCCCACACACACATACATACCCCCCCCCCCCCCCACACACACACATACATACCCATCCACACACACACACCCACAAACACACACACATACATACCTACCCACACACACCCACCAACATACACATGCACACACCAACCCATACACACACACACACACCTACAAACACACATACTTACACATACATACCCACCCCCCACCCCCCACACACACATACACATACATACACACTCACCCACCCACACACACACACCCACCCACAAACACACACACACACACACCAACCCACAAACACACACACACACACATACATACCCACCCATACACACACATACATACCCACACACCCACACCCACCCCCACCCTCACAGAGACACACACCCACACACACACAAACCTACACCTACCCCCACAAACACACATACACACACAAACACACACTCGCACCCCCACCCACCGAACACCACCACAACAATCATCGACCTACCATCACCACCACCACCACTAACCCGTCACTAGCACCACCACCATCACCACCACTGATAAAATTGACGCCGCCACCACCATCGCCTGTCATCACCACCACCGCCGCCGACCCGCTACCGTCACCGCCCCACCCACACCCTACTACCACTACCGTTTTTTAAAAATGAAAACCGATAGAAAAATAGACATTTAAACACGTTTTCTAATTTTCTAAAACTGAAAATGAAAAATGAATAAGTTTAACTAAACGCGTTCTCTAAATTTTTCAATGAAAAATGAAAACGGAAAACGAAAATCGAAAAGGAAAAAGAAAAAACGGAAAATGAAAATTATTTTTCCGTAACTAAACACAACCTTAATTTCTGAATATAGATACATAAAGAATTTGTCAGAGTTGGCAAGGAGTGGGAATTCAATACCACTTATTTAAATAAACAAGTTGAGATTGACAAATTTTATTTACATTTGTATACGTAACCTTTTTATTCTAGACTTGTACTTCAAACAAAACAATAGTAAAATAAGTTTACGTTGGCGAATGCGTAACTCATTTTAATTTATCTACTCATTCGGTGAGACTCCTTTAAATTCCACTACATATAACAAAAAATTAATTTATTCATTCATGGAAAGCAAATTACTAATTTATAATTGGAAAAAACCCTAATATTCTTTTTATTATTACTATGGTCAGAATTTTTTCACAAAATTATTACTCTAGCATACTTAACGAGTTTTATGATTAACTTGATTAAATTTTTTGCAAAATCAATTCTAAAATGTTCAAATTTAGTTCCTGAGGTTTGTAAAAAATTACACCACATGATTTTTTAACTTTATTTTTCGTTTTTTGTGTATTTTGTCTATTTTCGGTTTTTTTTATAAATATATATACATTTTTTATTTTCTTTTTTCTATATACTTTATTTATTTTCATTTTTTAACTTTATTTTTCAACAATCTGACTTTTTTTTTTTTTTTTTTTTTTTTTTTTTTTTTTTTTACCTTTTGTTTTCTATTTTGTAATGTATATATAGAGTATATTAGAGTTTTTTTTTTTTGTTTTTTTCATATTTCATTTCGTATTATATTTTAATTTTTTCATCTTTTTATTTTTTGCTTATTTGTTTTCCAATTATTTGTTATTATTATTATTATTTTAACTTATATAGACCAAATATTTTGAAAATCTTCCAAATTTAAAAAGATGCACTTCCTAAGCTATTTTATAATGTAATATACAAGAAAAACCAATACTTATACATGAAATATATAATATAATTCCTACATAATATATGAACTAAAAACACACATGACTATTTGGTTTCCTAAATGCTCAATTTTTACTTTGCAAATCGGTAAGTCCATTTTGCAGCTAATGCATCATGTTTACTTCTGTTTACCAAGTACAAATGAGCAATTCCTGGAACTTGAGGTTTATCTGCAACAATTAAAAAACAAAATTATCAACTTTATCCAAATTTCAGATTTTTAAAGATGCTAAAAGATTATAATATAACAATTCAGATAGATAATTTAAGGATTAAACTATAACAAAAAGAATGAAATACATACAAGGGTTAAGGTTGGTGAAGATTGATCTCAAAACAAGTAGCACATTTGAAATTGTTAAAACACGAGTCTAACTATTTTCTTCCAAGATATCCAAGCTAACATTGCATGTTGAATCTACATTGCAATGATATATTCGTGTTTTGAAATACAAAAAATAAAAACAAATAATTGGAAAACAAATAAGAAAAAAATATAAAGATGGAAAAATTAAAATATAATACGAAAAGAAATATGAAAAAAAACTAAAAAAAAACTCTAATATACTCCATATATACACTATAAAATAGAAAACAAAAGGTAAAAAAATCAAATTGTTGAAAAATAAAGTTAAAAAATAAAAATAAATAAAGTATATAGAAAAAGCAATTAAAAATGTATATATATTTATATAAAAAAAAACAAAAATAAATAAAGTATACACAAAACAAAAAATAAAGTTAAAA